TTTATACCTTTTTAATTGACGCATTCAGAACAAATCTGGCAACGTCATGCCGACATAACCACCAAATTTCCGCTTGATTGCGTGAATTTTTTCCGATTTCCACGCAACTTGCTCTGCCGTGCCTTGCCAACGAGGAATACCGTATGAATATACAAACTATGCCAAAATTCTGATCGCGCGGACCGAATTTTTAAGAGAATTCACATGAATTTTTATTTGAACTTTCCAGAGGCTTTCACTCACGATTTAATCTGGAAGGTCAAAATTTCACACAAAAAAATTCATGCATTTCACACCAAAATAAATCTCATTTCAGAGGAAATTTGGCAACTTTCGGATGATCTTACGGCGTTTTTCCTTTAGTACAGGTGACGCCGCTAATCGCGCGGCTGGCGCGTGAAATCAGATTTTTCAGGTCGCGTGACAGATGTTGCCTTTTCTGCCAAGGATGTGTTGATATCGGGGGAAAAGAGAGGGGTTTTCCTGAGATTTGACAATGCTGCGAGTGGATGCTGGGAAATGCACCATGTCGCGCCGCGCCGTCACGCTGCACCGGTGAAAATGCGTTCCAGTTTTGGTTATTGTTGAGTATCTGATCGGTGATCAGGGCGTATCTCCGTGGCTTGCTTTCATCATTGTAAGTAAGGCGTTCAAAATCGTGGTGTTTAAAAATTGGGAAAAATCATGGGGTCTAAAACTCGGAAAAATCGGGAAGAAGCGGGGTTTTATCAGAAAATAACGAGAAATCTCCGGGAAAATAGGGCATGTATTAAAGAATTTAAGCCATAAACCGGGATTATATTTCGATCTCCGGTACGTTTTATTGGTTGGTCAGAATTTTTTCCCAAATCTGTGAAAATCAATGATTATAATCCAAGCACGATTTTACGACGGGCTCGACTGTTATAAAACTTGGCATATCGTCGCTTGGCTGACATAAGGGCGTAACTATACATTGAGATGAGCCCGGAAAAGCTTTGAATTGTATGGAAGACAGGGTTCATCGCATAGTGCAGTTACGCCCTTATGCACGTAAGCGACGATGTAATGAGTTTAATATAAGTTTGGATACATTTTTGGTTGCTGAGGCTGTTTCAAATTGAATGTATTTCTGCCAAACGGAACTGTGTGCATTAAGACATGAGCCCTGAGACTCATAAGAATAAATCCATAACAAGGCTCACGTCATAATGCACATGGTTCCGTTTAACAGAAATACCTCAAATTATTAGACTTCTTTCTCAAAATACGCCTAAATTTACCTCTGAAATTTCCTGTACTCTCGCCTTCTCCCGATTAGAAACCAGTTTATTTCCCAGCTGTACTTTTTTCATTCTTGCTTTTAGTCGACGTTAGCAGGTTTGGCTGAACTGCGATGATGTAACAAGCCGTTCAATTTTTTATCCCATATTTAAATTGCTGGAGTACGCAGTAATGAGTCATGAGCAGACCGTATACATGTAATATTTTTCCATATCGCAGCGTCATGGTGGAAGACTCCTGCATGACGAATACCTCAGAAATCGGGAACGATTAAACTGCGTCACACATAAAATCCCCCTCCCCCTCCATTTTCTTCTCGTTTATTTTAAAATGCGAATGAGCCCCCGTATGCATGCATGCTATCAGTCCCGCGGTATGAAATCGGAACTAAACCCCTGCTTTGTCACAAGGAAGAAACACGTGTTCAAAGTTATTCAATATTACATGGAACTCGGTGGTAAAACGTTTAAACTCACTTTAATATACTTAAAAATTAGATCTAAGCAGTGAATTTTTCACAGAATCTAATTAAAGACTAGTTTTAGTTGAAATCATTAATAACTCAACCTTTTCAAAAACTGCACTTCTCCGACTTGTCTTCCAAACGAGTCAATTCGAGTCAATCGGAAAATTCAGACATAATTTTTTTTACTAAAACTGCAGATCTTTATGTTTAATTCATCACATTTTAAATTTTAAGGGGTGCTCCTGTAAGAAAATTTTACGAGGAAACTAGTGAAACCACGTTTAAAACCTCAGAGTTTTGTATGGACGAAGTTATATGCGTTTAAAGTTTCCAAATTTCGTCCGACCTCTCCTATTGACTCGATCCACCGAGCGGCTGTGCGTAACCGCGGGAGTCGAACCCAGAACCGGGGCCGCGCCATGCCATACCGAACGAAGCTGCCTGCATGCTGCAGTGCTAAGGAAGAACGCCGTATAAACATTCAAGAGTTGCCAAATTTCCTTCGATAAAATGTTCAATTTTGAGAAATGTTATGAATATTTTTCCTTGAAATTTTCAGGAACTTTAAGTGAAATTGCGAGCAAAAGTATCTGAAAACTTCGAAAGAAAATATTCATAAGTTTATCAGGAAATTCGTGTTTTATCGAAGGAAATTTGGCAACTCTCGAATGTTCATACGGCGTTTTTCCTTAGCCCGGCTGCATGGAGCTCACTCCTACGTCACGTCTGAGCTCCTTAACGTCTCGAGTGAACTTTCAAGTTGAGACAATCGACAGCGACAAGGCGGTCGTTGATCCGCGCTCTCCAACGCCGGCTTCGAGTTCCTCGCTTGACGCCGGTCGCGCCGCGTGAGACTCACCGCCCCTCGCCGATTTCGCCCGGATAGCTCAACATGCTTTGCCGAGTATTCGGAAAAAAAATGGTGTTTCCGGTTAATATTAGAAAGGATTCATTAAGCCAGAATCAGCTGAGCTGCATTTCTCACTGGCCTTCTCGGACTAAATATTGGACTTCATTTTGCAATTAGGAAGTAAAATTTCCGATTCATAGATAAAAACACTTATCTGCACAAGGGAACTGATGAGAATGGTACATATGGACTACATTTTGCAATTCGGAACTATAAATTCTGGCTCCTCTGGAAAAACACTTATGTGCAGAGGGAAACTAATGGCACATACGTTGTTTTTAAACCGGGCTAGAATTTATAGTTCCACATTGCAAAATGTAGTCCATATGTTGTTTTTAAAATGAGCTACAGATTGGAATTCCTCATTGCAAAATGTAGTCCAATTAGATGACATTTGGCGGGGTCAGCCAAATGCTGCCGAATGTCCTATCATGTTTCATCTTTTCACGAGAATATCGAGCAACATTCTGTCTTGAAATTTTGTGAGCGTATTTTTGTAAGTGTATTTTCCGACGGAAATACACTTTTTATATTACGGTGACTTTCACGGAATATTTTAAGATGTTACGTTGTGTAGTTTCCCTGTAAAGATGAAAAAAAAATTAGTCATCGGGAAACGCAGTCTTTTGCAGTTTATGGGCAAAAGGCTACTCTCTCAGGAGTGTTACATCGTCACACCAGTGGGTTGACGGTAGATGTCATTAGTTTCCCTCTCTAGATAGGTGTTTTTATGTAAAAGCCAGAACTCGGGGTTCCTCGTTGCAAAGAGTAGTCAGTTTGAAAGAAGCAGAATGGATTCAGTGGGTCACGATACGGAATTTACGCGCACTAAAATAAGTCCGCCTTCAATTTACGAGGTAGGCCAGAAAATATCCTCCAAGCAGCAATAGTTATCTCCTTCAAGGAGTTGCGTCTTCCTCAACGTGCATGTAGAGAACGCCACTGCTATTGCTAAACTGAAGAGACAAGACTTTCAGCGCAAATTTCCGCCACATAATAAATAATTGATCACACAATTCAAGTGAAAGCTTTTCCTAGTTTATTTTTAGAAAATGGAACTAAATGCTCTCAGCTGATTCTTAAAATCCATCCCATTGGGAATTCTTACTTTTCACTCGTAGATTGGCAACACTAACACTGAAGCAGCTCATGATCCGATCACTCTTTCAATTCCGACACGCGATCCAAAGTCGCTCTGTTTACACGATTCCCCGATTCTCTGAGAAATAGGAGAATCTAAAAGCACGCTTTTAGTCGCGTCTTTGAGCATGCATTGCCGGTGCTCATCCCAACGGAACCGCGCGCAAAGGAAGTTAAGATCCTGCACTTCCGTTTCTCTTTTAACGCAAGTTGAACTTGAAATGAAAAGGGATCCATTTCAGTCTTTTACCAACGTCTATTGTAACATCGAGACACTGGAAGCGAAACTGTTTTCTTCGACTACCAGACATTCCAGACATCCTGCATTGCCATCGATAAAGTTCACTTTACAGTAGACTCTGGATTATCCGGATTAATTGGTGCCGGGACCGATCCGGATGAAAAAGAAATCCGGATAAGAATAGTAAAATCAAACACCACCAACCAACACCACAGTATTCGTATTATGTGTATATCATTTACATACCAACACGAATTTAAAAGGTTAACGCCAAACTGAACGACTCAATGGTGATTGTGAATGGTAGCCGACAACGATAAATTACAGTACAACGATTAAAGCGCGCAATGCGTGAAGTATTCATGCAGTCGTGTAGCCGCTAATGTGCGTTTTAGGCTAACTATCGACTGCACTGCGTTTGGCGTAATGCGAGAAGTATTTATTCAATCTAGTAGGCGCTAATGCGTTCCACGCCGACCTCACTGTTTGGCGCAATGCGTGAAGTATTCCTTCAGCATTGCAGGCGCCAATATGCTTTGCGACCGCTTCTCCGCGGATCCGCTCACTTATCGGAATGCGTACGTAGTTACATGGTTGCAAAATCGATCCGGATACTACGAAGCCGGATAATCCAGAGTCTACTGTAATTAAAACTCATGTAAACCGTGAATAAATCTTTTCTTAAAACATTTTCTTCAGTAGCTAAAAGGAACACGTAGAAGTGAGTTAAAGCAAAAAGAGTATATTTTGATTTTATTTATTTTTATTTAATTAATTACCATATTACCATTTATTTTTATACCATAAGTACGTCCAGTTAGGCCTAGTCGTGCTTCACAGCTCACAAAGATTTTCGGACGTTTCTTGATGAGGACAACAAGTAAATTGAAAAATAAATCTAGGATTTATATATATTGGTCACGATCAAAAATAGAATGGTCACAGTCTTGATTAATGCCAACATTACTTTTTCCTTTCAGTGCAAAGGAAAGTTGGATTCCCAGTCATTCACGTTGAAATCTTTAAGCCCATGAGGTGTCAATTGAACTAGCTTGATGACAATTCGTTCTCGAGTACTTTGCGCTTTCAAAGTTAGCTCGAGGTTGAGGCTCAAGCTCAAAGTTCCGGAATCTAACATTCGGTAAATATCATTGGCTCCTCCTCAAAATTTTGCGAATGGGCTTGCATGATTGGCCCCATGAGTGACCATCAAACATTTTGAGAAAAATGTGCTGAAGCAGCCTAGCACCCCTGGCCAGACCGCCCCTGCCAGTTTGAAAAACTCTCTCGTCAAGCAGCTCGATTGGTCATGCATCAGTCATCATTATATGAACAATAGTATTTCACCGTTCTAAGGGAAAAGGCCGTATAAACATTCGAGAGTTGCTAAATTTCTCCGAATAAAACATGTATTTTTGAGGCAAGTTATTCATATTTATCCTTGAAATTTTCGGGTATTTTAGATCAAATCGCGAATAAAATTGTTCGAAAAATTTAACGAAAAATATTAAAAATTTTCCCAGTAAATTCGGCTTTTATCGAAGGGAACCTAGCAACATCTGAAGGTTCATTTATGACGTTTTTACTTGGCATGGCAGTACACTGAAAACAAATTTTCGGCGTTTTTATCAAGGTCCGTTGGTACCTTTACCATCTCACTTTTTTACCAATTATTGGTAATTTTACCAAGACAGACTGGTAAACTTACCTAAAAACCGGTATTTTTACTGTTTTTTTTTCAGGTAAGAATACCACTTTTATTGGTAATCAATTCCCGGTAACTTTGTCATTTTATCTCGGTAATTCTACCACAGTCGATAAAAAATATTGGCGTTTTTACCAAGGTCCAGTAAAATTACCGAGAAAGTTCAATAATGTTACCGAGATTTCTCGGTAAAATTACCAATTCCATAAATTTTAATTTTACCAAGAAAAAACTGGGATCAAATAGAACCCTGAATTCTTGGTAATTGTACCCTTTTCTTAGTATATACACCGAGATTTTTTTTTCAGTGTATTGCAGGTATCCCGAAACCGACTTCCGTCCCACCCATTTTGTGCATTGCTATGGAGAGCCAGCGCAGGGCCTCAAAAATACTTCGTCTCGGGAAAAGTCATTAACGCGAGGTCTCTAGGTTATTTCGTTCATGATTGCAATGGGACAGCGCCGCGTCTCCGGGATATTTTGTCTCCGGGCGCAATTATAAAGCCGCGGACAGAAGACGGCCTCGGCGGAGATGCATAAAACAGTGTTGCCATTTTTCGGGTCGAATTCACTTACTTTCATCGCTTGTTATGAAAATTGTTTGAATGCACTCTGAAAAAGACGTTCTGTAAAAGATTCCGAACTTAGGTGCACACTGAAAAAAAATCTCGGTGTATTTACTAAGAAAAGAGTAAAATTACCAAGGATTCGGGGTTCTATTTGATCCCAGTTTTTTCTTGGTAAAATTAAAATTTATGGAATTGGTGATTTTACCGAGAAATCTCGGTAAAATTATTGAACTTTCTCGGTAATTTTACTGGACCTTGGTAAAAACGCCAATATTTTTTATCGACTGTGGTAGAATTACAGAGATAAAATGGCAAAGTTACCGGGAATTGATTACCAATAAAAGTGGTATTCTGACCTGAATAAAACAGTAAAAATACCGGTTTTTAGGTAAGCTTACCAGTCTGTCTAGGTAAAATTACCAATAATTGGTAAAAAAGTGAGATGCTAAAGGTACCAACGGACCGTGGTAAAAACGCCGAGAATTTTTTTTTCAGTGCATATTGCACATATCGAACTTTTTAGTTTCATATAATAAAAAAAGTTAAGAGCTCGGAATCTTTTACCGAACTGTTCTTTTTCGGTAAGGGTAAAATTGTGCAAAAAGAAGAGAGATAAATATATGAAATTCATATGATCAAAGTTCCGACTGAGAAGATGATCAGCACGAGGTGGTGGCCGATCTGAGACTCGAAGAATGACGAGGAGGAAGGTTGCGTTCCTGGACCCACGGGGCAGATCCAGGGAAGTCGTAAAAAGAGGAATGCGACCTTTCACAGGTAAAGCGGGTTGAGAGATCGGTCGCGGTGTGCAGGTATGAGACGAGCTGATTCTGCCGATTTCCAAGGTGGGAGACACGACTGCGTGCATTGGGGTAGTGGATGATGCCGAGCATTATACATTTCGAAGGGCGGTAGGTCCGTAATTATTGGTCGCGAGAGTTGACGTTTCGACCAGCGTTCCAAGCCCACAGGCGCCATTGCATCGCACCAAATGCTCCCATACAATCGGCAAAGGCTCAATTTTAAGGCAACTTAAAAAATGAAAAACCTTGCCCAAACATGGCTCCTAAAAATTACCGCGATCCTAATTTTTCTGATTGACGATTTTCCGTGAACCCTTCCAAAGTTACAACTACAAGTCCTGTTTAAGTACATTTTGCGTATGACTGTTCACTAAATACGCCGCGATACCTAGGCAAAATTCAATTCGGCTCCTGAAAAATCTTCAGAGGCCTCAAAAAATTGAGCTTAAAGGGTCGAATGGTTATGCTAAAACTCAAAAGTGAAATTGAAACGCTGGTGACAAACCTCATCACATTTTCACTGATCTATGATGGTCGACCATTAAACCTCGATTTTGCGACTAAAAATTGATCCGATCCCCGCCAAAATGGCAACAACGGTGCAGAAATTCATTCTCATTACTCCCGCATCAACTCCAATCGGGAGGATCCGGCGAGGCTACCGTCAAGTGTATCTCATCCACATTGGCCACCAGGAGTGGGAGGGGGTAGGGGGTCCAGAACCATGGGAAAGGCGAGAACACCGTTGCCAAATCGCAGTGTAGTCTCAAAAATTCGCCGTGTAAAAGAAGTCTGATTAAAATGGGAAACGACATCGCCGGAAGGGAACAGGCGAGGGTCCCGAACACAATAGGGGACCGCGGAGAGGGGGGCACTTGGCTACATCCGCTGCCCGCCAGAATCAGGGCCTGGACCGCGCGGCAGATCGCGGTTGAAATCAGTAATTTCGGGCTGATCGGAGCGCGAAAATTGCGGTTTTTTCTGCACGACGTGGCAAGCGCGACGACGTCGTAACGTGGTCATTCCGATGGATGACCGGTGAGTCATCGTCTGCGTTGCCGCTACAGCCATTACTGGAACTAGGGGGGGGGGGGGGGGGGGGGGGGGGNCCTCCCCCCCTGCCCGGAGCCCATTGGACCCTCCCACAATAGGGATTATTCGAAATAACTGCGAGACATGCCTTGGAAATTTTATTTAAATTTTGTCGGTAAGACGGCCTCAATGACGAAAATTTGGGAGATGAGGTGAAATTGGAGCAAAGTTGGACGTATTTCTGTCAAACGGAACTATGTGTAATGAGACATGAGCCCTGAGGCCCATAAGAATATATGCGCAACAGGGCTCTCGTCATGATGCACTTAGTTCCGTTCGACAGAAATACGCCCAGTTTAGGTAGTACTACATTTCACGGTCGAATTTTACATCTTAGCCTGACCATTCAGCTTTACGAGCTGTATTCCCTGATTTTGAACCTTACCCGAAGAAGGAACTTCGTGCATGGGACCCGAAGTTGAGGTCATATGGATCTCTGAAATTTTCGGATCACGCATCCAAAAACTTGATGTTCAACTGCCGAAGGTCGGTTCAGACATCCGAATTACTTCGGTAAGTACCGTAGTGCTCAGATGTGTGACCCGAACCCTTCGGTATGTACCTAGGTACTTCAGATGTCTGACTCGAACTTCGGCAGCTAGACCTCAAATTTTCGGATCTCGAATCCGAAAACTTCAGAGATCCATGTGACCTCAACTTTGGGTCCCATGCATGAAGTTTTTTTCTCCGTGTACATTGCCCCAACATTCAAAATACAATTTCGAAGAGGGGGAGGGGAGCTTTGAAGCCTAAATTAGACCTTTATTTGAAAGCACCCGCATACCGATCTCTGCCGTAGAAAATGCCCTCTGCTCTCCATCCAAAAGTTGTTAAGTCAATTTTTTTGCCATGGCCAGTAGGTGCTGAGTTCTCGTTTATCTCGAAAAAAGCTCATTTTTTTCATATTACGCTCTTTCCTGAAGCGCGACTGCACTCTTGCATCCTATGTTAATTCGACGCGGCAACCGAGGAAGGATGTACGTGCCCACAGACCTGACACCTTAGACATTTTTACCCGCAACCGGCGCGGCGTAGCCGGCGCTTTGCCGCTTCCCGCTCAAGCGGGAACCGGTCCGGCTCATTCAGGCGTAGGCAGGTAGCCCCAGCATCCCGGTCCATTGCCCGCCAATTGCATAACTCAGCGTCTGCGCATGCGTCACCCAGATTCTGCGAAATTCCTGCCGCCAACATTCCTCCCAAATCCCGCGTTCCGTTCCGGGAACGCCGTGGAAAAATGTACCGCCGTTGCGGCATGCGCATTGTCGGCGGGTCGGGTTGCCGAATCTGGCGGGATTCCGAGGATTTTCTGCCGTCTCGTGCGAAATTAGTGCGATTTTTTTGTGGAGGCTGGCGATTGAATAACGGGTGGCATGGGGAACAATGCGTCTGAAGATTCGATCGTGCCTGTCTAGGCGGAGTTCGGAACGTTGCATCGATGGCCCTACCTGGGGTTTGAGCTCGCGGTGAATGACCTCCCAAACTTCTATCCATAGTGTATCTTCTATTATTTTTCGCATTCCTGGCGGGTCATTCTCCTGGCTGCTCTACGGTTCAACTAACTCATCGGTAGTCGGTACTCTCTTTAGATGGTAATCGAAGGGATGAGAGGCAGGGGACCTGACTATCATTGTAACGTTTCAACTTCCACCTGACTACAGCTCCGTGAACTTGACTGACCAACATGGAGCACATTCCGAAAGTAGATCCAATATTCAGTGCTTCAATTGTGCTTACTACTTATTTTTCCATTTATTATCGGGTGGAAATATTATGTCGTACATTACCGGAAAAATTCGTCTAAGTACAAACAAATTCTTCAGGAAATTTTAAACGAAATTGTATAACCACTATAGAGTTAGTAAGTAAATTTGTAAATGAAACTGTGCAACGTTGCAATGCAGTTAAGCCCGTCTGTTTCACACCTCTATAATTGTCTCTGTGAGTATCCATAGCGGTGTAGCGATATAGTTTT